GTCCCGGTGGTCTGGCGAAAGATGATATTTCCATCCGGATTGGGAAGGCCAGAGCAGCTTTTGCGAACCTACGTCACCTGTGGCGTAGGCGTGACATCAGCCTCTCTGTCAAGGGTCGAGTTTACAATACTGCGGTGCGCTCCACATTACTATATGGATCAGAAACCTGGCCGCTGCGCGCCGAGGACGTCAAAAGACTTTCAGTGTTTGACCATAGATGTCTTCGGAATATTGCCCGAGTCCGATGGGGACACCAGATAAGCAGTTTTGAAGTACGTCGAATGGTATTTGGAAGGAATAACTCGCCCCCGATAGATGAACTGATCACTCTACATAGTTTCCGCTGGCTTGGCCACGTGCTTTGTATGCTAGTCGACCGAATTCCTCCAAGAGCTATTTTCGCACAACCACGTGAAGGGTAGAAACGAGCCAGGGGATGTCAAACAATGATTTGGCAGCGAAGTATGAAAACTATTACCAGCAACCTCAGTTGCGGTGGTCATTGCTGTCTGCTTGGATAGGGACCTCGAGGCAGGACACACCAATGGTTAGAGACATTGTTAGACATGACCCAGTCGTGCCCTCAATTGCTCTCGTGCATACAACGCACAGCTTCCCTTCCAATCTCCCTAATTAAAAGTCCCCTGGAAACCCTGTATTGACGCATCAATCATATCAGCTACCGCCTCCAACGCGCATCTCCTTACCCCATCTTCCCAAATCATCGGTGAACGAAATTGTGGCACCTACGGCAAGTACACGGTTCCTACAACCGACGATGATGACGTGTGAATCAAATTTCAGTGCTATTTTTGGGTTTGCGCATTTTGATATACCTTTTTTCTAGAATCCATCTTTATGATAGCTTTGCTATGCTCCTACCAGCCAAACCAGACAGAAAACTGAAGAAACGGGTATTCTCAAAGGAAAAGTTTTTGAGTTTCGGCTGACTGACTATTCCACTTGAGATGATTAGTCTGCAGTTGAAGATAGGATATTCATGTCCGATCGGCTTATTAAAACGGGCTTCTGTTTAACCATGCAGTGGTGCACCTAGTCCGGAAATTGGGCGTTTTTGGGAGCGTTGTCTGTGTGAACACAGCTCACTGGAACGCGACGATAGTTTGATGAAATGCGTTTGATTAGGAGCAATAACTCGAATAAAAAGACAGAATGTTTGCCGACGGCCGACAGACCTCACTGTCACCTGGTCAGTCCCACTTACACGCGTGTCCCAATGAGTCCCGCTAAAGAGAAGAGGTCTCAGGGGGGGGCCAATCTTTCGGGATCCGAAACCAACCTTAAAATGCACAAGAAAACGACAGAGTCTCGAAAAAAACAATATATGTACGTTTCTTCATGATGGTTACATATTTTTGCATGAAAATAGTGAGGATACACACATATGGTGGAAATAAACCTTAGAAAATAGCAGTATAAACGATCAGATAAGCGTTAAGTAACCAGAAGAGAACGATTGGGCGACAAAGACCTCGAACGGTTGGGACACGAAGAGGTAGACACAGCCGATGCTACAATACTCTGCAACGTGAATGTCTTTGGATGCACGCTAGTTTGATCACCGTCAGTAGCCTAGAGAAGTCATAAGCTGGTTGACTTGTTTGTATACCTGTAATGTAAACCGAGTGAAGAAACAGGTCAGTAGAATGAAACTGAATTCAAATAGAGGAAGTCCATTCTGAAAGCCAAGGTAGCTTATCCCGATTGCGAACCTTGAAAGCAGCCAGATAAAATGGTGGTCGAAGCTTGAAGATTGATTTCGAGCTGCCCGAGGTTGTCGGCACCGGCTAAGGCGCAAATGTAATTGTTCAGCTGTAACACCTTTCGGGTGCCTAGTTGCCATGCCACCCAAAGGAAGCACGAGGGTTGAGACACTGTCAGGTTGCCCAAGCTTAGACAGGTTAAGTCGAGATACAGAGGTTGGATTCGATCCATTGACATTCTGGTCAGTAAATTCGCGTTCTAACTACTTGGGCCATCTCGCCCCCGAAGTGAGGTAACTCTGAACGGTAACAAAGCTTGCAGAAGCATGAAACATGCGACAGATTACAGCCACCCGTTGCCCTTGCAACCTCACGAGGGTCAGGTGGAAGCGTGCGGGAGTACCTAGTGGCTGAGCAATAGGTCAGAGTCAGCCTCTGGGTCGGGTTCGAACCACGGACCGTCCGGTCAGTAAATTCGTGATCTAGCCACCAATGAGCCATCTTGCCCACCCTCTAGTCGGATAGCTATGAATCGGTATGCGCGACCAACACGGGAGAACCCTGAGAACATAAACTGCCCAGCTTGTCAGTGATACTCCACAGTCCACAGGGGATCTACGACCAGTCTACGAATACGTCGAATAGGAGCCAACTACTGTGATGATCGACAATAATAGTAATATAGTGTAATTAAAGCACTGCCTCAGTGCGCAGCTTCCATGCCAACCGAAGGAAGCACAGACAACCTCAGATACTCTTAGGGTCGCCCGAGCATCGATAGGAGCAGTCGAGATGTAGAAGTCGAGTTCGAACCCGGGGACACTCCGGTTGATGAGTTTGCGCCTTAATCACTGAGCCACCTGGAGCAGATCAGTAACATAAGTCCTCAAATGGCGGACGAGTGAGTCGTGTTCCCGTCACCTCACTAGATCAGAACGGTGCAGTCGGCCTACAGCTCAGTGAAGCATGATGTAATAACGGCGTTCTTCTCAGCTTAGTTCTCAGTCTTAACCTTCCAAGCTAGCGTTCCGGTCAAAACAACCACCGGAAGTGCACAACGTGTATTAACGCCCAAAACCAGGTCAAAAACATTTGTAGAACGCATCGTATGTATGCGGCGACAACATTCTGGAAATTCTGACGCCTCCTGGATGAGCCACTAGCTATGTGCATTCGGGAGAAGCTGGATTATGATTGGCTGTTGGGCCCACACTTTCGAACAGAACTCACTTTAATGCTAGACCGGCAAGGGCCCGGAGAGAGCAGTGTCCATTCTTGGTTTGATGGTTGCATGAAACCGGTTGTAAGTATGGCAAACGATGCAGGTGATAGAAGTTTCAAACCTGAGTCTTTCTCGTGATGATTGACCCTTTACAAACCAATCGTGTGCCACAAGGTACAACGACCTCGCGCTGTCTGATCGGTGGAGTTGAGGGTCTCCGTAGGTTCCGAGTATTCTGGGATATCTTCGTGAATCTGACCGCGCTAACGCTTTTCATACGACCACAGTTAGTTTCGTGCAATGATGATACAAACTACGAACCCGGTCGCTTGCAGGAAATGAGAATGTCTGTATAAGAGATGCGCAACTCGAGACATCTTGCATGTGCCACAGACATACCTGGTTACTCACGATACCCGCAACCTTCGTTTGATCCTTCAATCAAGGAATCATAACGAAGTATCCTTTAAACCCGAAGAATTCTACTAGTTTAGCATCCAGTTCCATGAACTCATACGACCCCATCGCCCCAAGATGTTTGCACCCCCCCCCTACCACCCGGAATCTTGGAAAAAACAAGCACCATACAATTGGGCACTCACCTCTTCTTTCGATTTTGTAGCGTCAATACGAGACACGAGACATCCCCCCAAGATGTTTGCCCCCCCCCCCGACCACCCGGAATCTTGAAAAAAACAAGCACCATACAATTGGGCACTCACCTCTTCTTTCGATTTTGTAGCGTCAATACGAGACACGAGATTCCTGGCCTCGTAATATTCGATGATGGGAAGACATTGTTCCTTGAATTGTTGCAACCTGGAAGAGTACGAGACACAGAGCGATGTTCACCGAATATCAGCATGTTATCTGAGAAATACGCTTTTGTCCTCACACCCATGCCAAAGTCAACCACGGTCGACCACGGTGGGCAACCCCATTCAGGATACGTAACAAACACGTGTAGCGAGTCTCTCGAATCTCAGAAAAAAAACGGACAGATGAACAACTGTTTTAGAAAAAGTTTGGTGACAATCGGTAGATTTATTGCTGGGCAACGTCTCGCTTTTGACACAAAAGCTTCGTCAGGCCAAGTGACTAGGTTCCGAGGTTGGTCGAGATTTAAGGCGGAAGGAGAACCAATCAGCTAAGTCAAGCTAAATCTCTGTTGGGTGTCGGCCGAGGGATTTTAGTGTGTTAGAGTGGTTGAACAAGTGTTGGGTCGGTGGGGAAATCTACATGTGTATGAGTCCAGCCTAGGGTCTAGTTCTTCTGGTTCGGTTCATTTGATGGTCCCTCTTGAACGTCGTTTGAACCTTCTGTCCGTCTGTGTGGATGAGCTAGTGCTAAGATAGTTGCGTAAGAGGGATGTTGTGACCATTGGTCGGGTTGGGATTTCCATCCCCACCCCCAGTTATTGCTAGTAATTCTACGTGAACTGACAACCACACAGTCATGTGTCAACTTGGCCTATCTAAGACCGCTTTCCATACTCTCCCCAGTTTTACACCCTCGATTCTATTCACCCTGTGATGCATAGCGGATTGGCTATCCTTCCAAATTAAATCTCGATCGACGTCGGAACCTAGTCATTTGGCTTGACGAGGCTTTCGCATCAAAAGCGAAACGCTGCCCAGCAATAAATCTACCGATTGTCATCAAACTTTTTCAAAAACGTTGACTACTCAATCGGCTCCGAGTATTTTTCACCTGACTGAAGGTAATCAATTAGTTTTTATTCGTTTGGAATAAGTCCCGATGAAACTTGTGAGAAATAGGGCGAAATGACGCAACGATTCGACTGGTCAATAGTTCCGTAAAAAAGTGCCAACACCAAGTGGCTGGAACCGGCAAGCGAGAAAGATTACAGAGGATTTTGGCCTACATTGATGCCATCCAGGTGTAAGCCCCTGAGAGTTTTAGTAGATCGTTTTCGCTCCCGTAAGTACATGTTATTTTTCGTCAAAAAAAAACAGTGCGTTATTGTTTGAGCAGTCATTTACCACTATTTCAAGACCTGGGATGCTCGAGATAGCTCAGTGGTTAAGGCATCAGCTTGTGGATCGGAAGGTCTGTGGTTCGAACCCAAACCCGACATCACGATTGTTGCTATAAGCATTCCGCTGTAACACCCTTTTGGTGCCTTCGACATCTAAAGGAAGCACGAGAGCTGGAATACTGCCAGACTGCCCAGGCCTAGACAGGGAGAGTTGAGAGAAAGAGGTCTGATTCGAAAAACGGACCTTCTGGTCAGTGAGTTTGCGCTCTAATCAGTTGAGCCATCTCGTCCCCCCACCTATTTAGGATTGGGTAACCTGGAAGTATCGCAGGTTGATCATCCTTCCTTCGAGTGGCATAACGGCTAGGAAACAAAACGGTGTTACAGCTGAACGCGTCGTCATCATCAACAGAGACAGCAAGACCAGTAGTATCCACATTCACTCTTAACTGCCATACAATTGTGTTTAAAACTTTAAATTGAATAGAAGACAAAAGAAGTGGGTGAAGGATGGGACCTGGTGCTAGCCTCCCGCAAGGTGCTCACAGCTCCAAGCGCTTAATCGGAAAACTGATGATACAGACGCCATTCTTTTCAATTTCTCCAGCTAAGCACAGGGAGGACCAAACCTTGGAAGGCGGACCACACCAGCAACACTGCTTGGTGATATTCCAAGTGGGCAGTCTAGTGCAAAACTCTGTGGACGAGTCAGGTTTCAATTGACCGTGTGATACTTCTTAGGTGGAACAGCGGTCTCAAGAAGATGCGGGGTGATGTGGGAATCGAAAATCAGAAGTGACTCAATATAGGAATGTGTACAATTAACAAAATCTAGACAAATCAAGTAAGGGCAGGAAGACAGTGGCTGACCAACATCGGTGCAATTCGCCCTGAGAACTTCCCTGAAGATCCAATGTACTACTCATAAGGTCGCTGAAAAAATCTTCGAAAATTGTCTACGGAAGTAAGCAGACAGATAGAGGATTTCCTAATCGTCCACTCGTTTACTTTGTTACACCTTGTGGCTTTTCAAAATGAAATTTATCGCTTTGTATTGAAGAAACAAAACCTCATCTGTCTCTGCCTATCACGTTGAAGTCACGTGGTGCCGTCTAGAATTGACAGCGTTGAACTGAGTTGATCGCAGAGCTACCACAAGCAAGTGAGTGCTTCTTGGACGGTGGAAAAGTACACTGATTAGCACAAGTATGACGAACGATCACGTGACTACTGGGAGCGACGTAGTGAGATGCGAACGAAGTTGTCTTGTTGAATATGCAAAACCCTAAACAAATTTGGTG